CTGGCCGACGAATCTCTCTCCTCGGTCTATCTGCTGCAATGGTCCTCTGAACATGACCCTGTTCCTGAGTCCCATGATCTACTGTATCCTGTATCTGCCCATCTGTCATCTCATCTCCTCCCAGTGTCACCTCTGTAGGAGCCTCAATGGATACAGTGTTCTCTGGAGTGGGTGGAGTCACATCATCCTCCACCTGCTGCGATATCTCTCCTGTCTGGTCTCCCTCCACCTGCTGAGGGGCTCGAGGCCTCATCATGTACGCCTCGTCAAATGTGACATCTCTGCTAATAACTATCTTCTTGTCCTGTGGATCCCATAACTTGAAGCCTTTGACTCCATCCCTAAATCCCACAAAGACTGCTTTCCTCGCTCTCGGATTTAATTTGCCATCACTGACATGATAATAAGCTGGACACCCGAATATCCGAAGCGACTCATAGTCACTAGCCACCGAACCAAACCAACGCTCCAAAGGAGTCTTCCCGTCTATCGCAGTGCACGGCAACCTGTTCACAAGATGGCTCGCATAAACCAACGCCTCGGCCCAAAAAGATCTAGGCAATCCACTCTGCGTCATCATACACCGCACCTTCTCCAGCAAGGTACGGTTCAATCTCTCAGCCACCCCGTTCTGTTGCGGTGTCTCTCGAACTGTGAAGTGTCTTCTAATGCCGTGATCCCGGCAAAACTGCAGAAACGGATCACTCTTGTACTCTCCACCGTTATCTGAACGTAGAGTCTTCACCTTTCTACCTGTCTGCAGCTCCACTTTCTTTTTCCACTCCACAAAAATATCCAGGACCTGATGTTTATGCTTCATCGGGTATACCCAATTCCTCCTGGAATAATCATCAATGAAAGTGACAAAATAGTTGGCCCCACCAAGAGATGTGTTCTTGGAAGGACCCCAAACGTCCGTGTGAATATAATCCAATGTACCTTGGGTGTTATGAACAGCGGTGCCGAACTTCACTCTAGTCTTCTTCCCAAGTACACAATGCTCACACAATTCCATCTTGCAGGTCTTAGCACCTTTCAATAGCCCCTGTTTTGCCAATGACTGTAGGGACTTATCACCTGTGTGTCCAAGTCTCATGTGCCATAAGGTGGTAGTGTCCTCCTCTGTAGTGATAGAAGCTGCCAGACCCCCTGTAACTGTCTTGCCCTTCAAGTAGTATAGGTAGTTTTCCCTGACACCTCGCATCACCACCATAGAACCCTTCGTGACCTTCACTGTAGCATCCTCTAAGATCACTCGATATCCTGCTGCCTCCAAAGTCCCAAGAGAAATGATGTTCTTCGTCAACTGCGGCACGAACCTCACTTCCTTCAATTCCCTCACTACACCATCATGCATCCTGATCCGGACTGAACCAATACCACCAATAGGGCATACGTGATCATTACCCATAAGCACGACATCCCCTCTTTCCAGCTCCTCAAAGCTAGAAAACCACTCCCTCTTAGGGCAGATGTGATATGTAGCTCCCGAATCCATCATCCACTCCGTTGAATCCACATAGCAAACCGACGGTAAAGCAGGGCATGAATAGCCTGAAGAATCTGAATCTGAATGCTCACCAATAGCTTTTGCAACATTCATTTCTGAAGCTTGTGCAGCTTTTCCCTTATTCTTTCCGGCTTTTTCTTTCCACTTTGGGCAGTCAATCTTCCAATGTCCTTCTTCTTTACAATACCAACATTGATTTCTACCAACACTCTTATAGGCACTCCTATTCTTTGACTTTGAGCGGTTAAACTGACGACGGTTTGGATCTCGGACTCGAACTGCTAACGCATCTCCCGATGCCTTCTCGGAGGGTTCACCATCACTACTCTTCCTCAACTCATAGTTCACCAAAGCTGAGGTCACCTCCTTGTAGCTAACTGTAGTTCTTCCATTGATCACAGTGAGAACGAACGTACCATAATCATCTTCGGGCAACGAACACAGAAGTAGCATCTCCTTGTCTTCATCCTCAACTATAATATCAACATTTGCCATATCTGAAAGTAGCTTAGTGAAATTGTTAACATGCTCCCTGATGGAAACCCCTCTCTTTATCTTGAACTGGTAAAATCTCTTCTTCAAGTGAAGCCGATTCTCAATGCTCTTCGTAAGATATTTCTCATTGAGTGTTTCCCACATCTTCTTCGCCGACGTCTCGTTCATAACATCATAAATAAGATCCGGCGTCAAGCATGACCTAATAACACCACAAGCTCTACTGTTCATCTTTCTCCAAACCTTATCCTCCAACTCAGCGGGTTTCTCTTTTAACTCAAGAGTCTCCTCCAAATTCTGTGCATCCAAAGCATCCATCACCTGACACCTCCACAATCCAAAATTGATCTTGCCATCGAACTTCGGAACATCAATCTTCGTGTTATTGATGCTCAGACTCTGTATCGCCTTTGTTAGAGACGAACCTGACGTGCTTGCATCTCCCATGTTGTCGATCTAGCTCTGATACCAATTGTTGTGCGCGGCGGAAGCTTTCTAGGGCAACACGAACAATAACTAAAACTAAACCACAAGCAATATGCAAACCACAATCACAGCCGGCACGGTCGACCGCGATCAATTCCGGTCGACCGGCCCGGTCGACCGACCAGCTCCCAGTAGAAAACCCAAAACTCCAGAGAACCCCTCGGTCGACCGCACCGGTCGACCGAAACACCTGCGGTCGACTGGCCCGGTCGACCGACCTCCTTTCTGTCGCACAGTAAGCTTTGTGCACGAATGCGGTCGACCGGACCGGTCGACCGCCGCCTGGTTTGCCTGATTCTTCTGAGTTTCTGTAATTTCTTCAGCAACCCTTAATTATTAAATTCTCAAAAAAGATTAGAACCAATTTATCCTAATTCTTATATAAAAAGAATTACTTTTGATACCCTAAATTAAGTCTCATCTATTTTTAACTTCCAATTCCTATAGTTTAAATCTACTCCAAGAAAAATCTTTCTATAGTTTTCAATGAATAAGTATGCATTAAACTTTTCAAGTTTATTCTGTTTTATATTAGATTAAATGATTACGATAATTTTTGATACTCTTGGGACTATTATTTTATATTTTCTCATTTTAAAAAGAATAAAGAGCTTAGTTGCTTTTCTATCAAAAAAAAAAAAAGAGCTTAGTTGCTTTAGGAGAGCTTGTGAGACTTCTTGCAAAAGGCATTCTTTATCAACTTCTTTTAAGATCCGGCAAGCTTCTGGAAAATCTATTTTTCATTGGATTTCTAAATTCGAAAGAATGAGCGAGTGATGAATTTATCCTTATTTGGTTCGGGAATCACTTTACCCTTAAGTTTGAAAAAGAAAAATGTTAACTGCTAATTAACAGTGAAGTGGATATATTGATTTTATAAGAAATTAAATTGTTTTCCTATATCCATATTCTTAAATTAGGGTAAAATAATTTATTGATGTAATCTTTTTAAAGGTAGAGAAAAATATGTATTAATTATTTTTAATGAAATTTAACATTTGAAAGAATTTTGATTCAAAAGGTGTTTCTCATAATTTTTTTCCTAGAGTTGATAGAGTAATTTTAAATTAATATATACAATGATTGTAATTGACCTTTGAAAACTTATTGCTTCTAATCTAAATGGTGTTTTGGATTAAAAAAAAATCTAAATGATGTTTCTTCTTAAAATTGTTTTTTTATAGGAAAAAAAATGTAAAGGCTATTGTTATAATCTCAATTGATTAAAAGTTGGGGTATTATATAAAGAACTTTTATTTGAGGGTTTGTAGTCCATTAAATCTTTTAAATTAGTCCCTTGTCCCCTAATATTTAAGTGTTTTGAATTTAGTCCCTCAAACTAATAGTAAAATTATCAATTAAGGTTATTAATCTGAAAGAAATTATGATTTGAGGGACTAATTTCCTTCTAATTCTTATTTATACTCCTGATTAGAGGGGCTATTCTCAAAATAATTCAAGAATTGGGAGATATGATAGAAATTTTAATAATTTGAGAGAATAATTTTAAATTAACTTAAGATTATTTTTGTAAAAAAAAAATAACTTAAAAATTGAGGGATCTTGTAGCAATTCCAATGGTTTGAGCAAGTAATTTCAAAACATCAAAAACTTAAGGGACTAATATAAAAAACTAATTTTTTTTAATCTCTTCGCCTCCTTATCTTGACATGCCCCCACTTTAGAAATTTGTACGTGCGGGGCCATCTCCGGCGTCTCATAGTTTAGAATTCAAAAGGTGAAGGACGAAATTACTTTTATGCCCTTATCATTTCAACGGAGCGGATGAGAATCCCTCCATTCCCCAGGTTATTTTTGCCCTCACTCGGGCTTTTCGGACTTCTATAGATTAGCATGGATTCTCAAACAAGGTCATGTTTAACTTCCCCTAATCTTGATGATTTACCGAACACTGTTTGACTGAAAAAGGTTGCGACGCGCAAACGGGCGTATGGACCTTAACGGGCTTGGATTCGGTTAGGAAAAGTAAAACCGCCATCATGCTTCTTGCCCCTTCCAATGTGACGACGGCAACTATCGAACCAGTCAAGGTCATGACTCATGCCCCACTCCGTCATCTTCGTGGACATCACCTCACATGGTTTTATTTGAAAAATTCGGACTCAAAATATGGGATCAATAAGAGAGACAAGTAAGATGTTCCCTTCCTATTAGATAATGAGTTCCGTTTCTGAGGTTTCTTTCAGTTTCTTAGTGACAATAGGCGACGGCATTCTGCCTAAATAGTAGACACGTTTCTGAGGTTTCTTTCAGTTTCTTAGTGACAATAGGCGACGGCATTCTGCCTAAATAGTAGACACATGTGATAAATAAGAGAATACTAAAGATTCGAGTCATAGAATTTCTCAATTCTGACACAAGGTACTTATTAGATCGAATCGAATGATTTTGCCGTATCCAGAATAATACCAATCCAACCCATTTCATGAATAAAATGTGACCAATTAGCCGACCATCTTTACCCTTATTATTTATTAGTCTCATATTTTGGTCCCGTAGCAAATCTCGTTTTATTTAGCCTTTCTCTTTTTCTCATTCCACCTGTTACTTTCCATTTCTCCACTCGCGGAATCGGAAAAATCTCCTCGTCAGCCTCCCATTCACCGACATTCGATGTCAAAAGCTCTCTCTTTAGATATTCTTGGAGCTAATTATTTACATTTTCTCTCCTTTTCCGTCCTTATTTTTTCAATTCTACAAATGTGCTCATCATCTACAGCTGATAGTGATCGCTACCCACTTTCACCTTCACCGCCCACACCAATTCTTGAAAGGCACCTTTTAACCCTTTCCGCCGGCCCCCTTTTGTCCAGTCCTCACGTTGCACGCCAAGTGTTTGCTCTATTGCCTGAAAGAAACAAGCTTCAAAATTATCTACTGACTGTGGATTTTGACGAGTTAGGGATGATTCTGTTGCTATGGCCAGCCATTGATTTTGTTGCTTCAGTCTCCAGGAGGAGAGATCCGTTATCACAAATTTTCCACGCCCAACGAAGTATCGTAGAGAATCTACGAAATCAATGAATCACATCTGTTTGCAAATAGAAAACTATCTGAGAATTGATCGTAATTTTTGAACTTTTTTTGTTGATGAAACATGCATCTTGATGAACTTGATAAATTCTGAAATGGGTTTGATAAAAAAAAAAAATTCCTGGAGTTGATCGCGACAAATTCCATGGAGAGCTGTCTTAGGGTTAGGATTAATGGCTTTTACATTTTGCGGAAATTATGAATTATGAAAAACTAGACATTCATCTTATGTTTACCGATGGTTATTAATTTGCAGTTATATTGGCTTATGATCGGTCAAGGCCATTCTTTTATGCTTACTTCGCCATCAAGATGTTCACTGGGATGTTTTGTGATGGCAGCATGCAGTGCCTTTCTCTAGCTTATGTGGTAAGCATTTTACCCTATTTTAACCTGAAATTTTTGGGCTGGTAATTTCTGCAAAGATATTTTCTGATATGTATTTCTTATCTGATGACTCTTAGAAAAAGTCAAATTCCAATTAATAATTAAACTCGCAATGTATTATTTTGTATGAAATAGGACCACCATTTCATATAAAATTATTGGAGTAGTTGCAATTATTGTGTTTTGTTATAAGTTTCACTGACAATAAAATAATTTCTGCAAGAATCACTATAATGATTTTCATGATCCGACTTCTTCATAACTGTATTTACCATTCATTTGCCCCAACTATTACATGCAAATCATCTGAACGTCTGCATTAAATATAAGCTAAAGTTCACATAACATAGAGTGCTATATTATCAAATGTATTGATGCTTCTCTTAGTATCAACTTGTATAGTGATATTTTTAGATTATTGTGCATGTTGAGTACATGAATTACATATGAACTAGGTAAATCTAGGGTAACGTAATTGGAGTCAATCCACAACTGATCATCTTGTAGTTGATACTCTCTGTACTGGTAATTTGGCATCAGTATCAAATATCAATGCCAGCTCTAGGCATTTTATTAAATAAAAGTATCATAAAGTTTAAAATAATTTTCATTTTGTTACTTAAAGATTTTGCAGTGTTCAAATTTCGAAAATAATTGGATGGATCCTAAAGAATATGCACATCTGCTTGCTAATCCCTTGCTTCATAATTCCAATACAGGCAGACAAAGTGGCCGAGAGCCGAAGAGCTACTGCATTTGGTGTTCTTGGTGGCATCTCTGCTGCTGGGTTCGTCTCTGGGACCCTCGCTGCACGCTTTCTCCCGACCTCCTACACCTTCCAGGTCTCCTTCTCTCTAACCTCTTTAGTTTCAGCATCATTAATCTGAATGCCTCATTTGTTTGTTGTTTATCTCTAGGTCTCTGCTGCAGTGGCAGTTCTTGCAACTGTGTACATGAGATTATTCCTGGTTGAAACAGACAGCAAAGGAGATCTAGTTTATGAATGCTCTCAGCCCCTATGCCCAGCTTCTTCCTCTGAGGCTGATTCGAGTTCTCCCAAGTTGCTGCCTATCAAGAAGGTTCCCTCGCTTCGCGATATGATTTGCCTTCTCAGGAGCAGGTCTGCGAACTAGTGACTCTTTCTTTCTATAGTTTTGAAATAGTTGCCTTTTGTTCTTATTCAAGACACATAGACTTAGTTTTATTTAGTAATCACAGTGATTCAGGAATTATATTAAACTAAGAGTAGGTGTGAGTTTATCCATGCATTAGCTATTGGGCGAGTCTGCAGAAGCAATGCCCACTTTGTATCTAATCTATCAACCATAAGAAGAATAATGGGGGGAATAAGTAAATTGTGAATATTTGATGGTTTAGAAAGCTCCTATGTTCACGAGGAGCGCCAGAGAGATTCAAATGAGCACCGAAAAGCACGGGAAAGTGCTTCCCTTATGTTTACTCTAGATTCCAACACAAGAATATCAATGTTGTTGGTCTCTTATCTTTTTCTTTTCATTTTTATGCCCACAGCCTCTCCTAAATAATGAAGAGAACTCTGCCCTTTATATTACTTTAGAGGCACGCCTTAAACTTGTGATCTCCTTTTCAGAAAGAGAATGCCTTTTCAAGACCTCTTAGGAGAAAAGAGCTCTTACCTAAAATATTCTCTCCATTCATGTTTTCTTTTCTTGCTACTTCCTTATAAGATACATATCTCCTCCAAACATCTAGAAATCCTTTTAGTGACATAATCATCCTGAGCAATAGAGAAGATAAATCCTTATCCTTGTAGAATGAGTTTCTGTAACCAAGTACATGTGATTGAGATCTGTTGAAATACCAACATCTTAAAAAGTGGCACTTAGGCTGTCAGCTTAGGCCTTGGGAGCACCTAGGGGAGCATGAGCTGCTTACGCGGACTGCATCACTTAGGGCTTGATATTGATTTCCTTCACTGCAGCCTTGACGTCCTCCGAACTCCTCTAGTCTCCACCAACTGTGAACACCTCGTCGAACCTTCAACAAAACCTCCTCCACCACTACTTAATCAAAGAAAGAAATTTGTCTAGGAACCTAGGTGCTAGGCATCAGTCCGACACGTAGCGACCTAGCGCTTCCTTTAACATCCGTTTATTATCAATTATTGCAATTAAAAAATAAAAAAAAGGAAAACCACCTAGGTCCTCCTTAGGCTCCAGGGGTTGAGTCTTCCGGCTAGAGCTTTTTTGTAACCTTGTAAAATACTCCTTGAAAGAAAACCAATTTATTACTCTAGTGGCTAATCAGAGATCTTTCTCGATCAATCCCTATGCCCCTCATTCTTCGAGAATAAGAAATATCCTTTTCGGGTTTGAATTTGTTCATTTGGAATCCAGACTTTTATACAGGGACAAAAATAGATTTAAGTTTAGATGTGTTATCATACCTTAATTTAATATGTTCCTATTATAAGGATATCTTATGATAATATAAACTATTATAAATAAACGAATCAATTCAGATAGCCTTTTTGGCTTCGGTGTTGGCTAGATTACTTTGTCATTCGCTCAAGGCAAGTTCCCATTGAAGTTCAATGTGGATCTTTGCGTATTTATCATGATATCTACAGGCACTATCTACTAGTAAGAAGCGTGAAAAAGGAAATCCATTGTATGGTGCTTTTTTCCCAGAAAGTTATTTGAATAGAAAGAACTACGTTTAGTGCTACTGTAGTTTTGAGAATGAATACAGAAATGTCCACCAAAAGTAAGTAAACACTTCTGAAACATATAAAATGCGGTTAATCCTGTTGTAAAGGATGCTATTATTGTGAAAGTTGGTGAATGGGTTTTTGACCATAAAAAATAAGATTTTTTTTCCTGCCGCTTGACCTAATGTAATAATAGTCAACTGGCTTGCTCTGAGTTCTAGTGATCAGTTGACTGCTTCCTTGTGCTATTAGACTATATTTTCATAATGTATCTAACACCTTATGTATGATTTGTGCTCAACGTTTAGCATGCAGATGGATGAGGTTTAATGATGAGTGCTCCTCTTTATCTTAATATTAGCATTATGCTTTGATACTTGTTATCTTGCAGAATGTAATATCATATAAAAAAGACCAGGATATAGCATTTTTCTTTGAATATTTATCAGCATTGTTATTGTCATTTTCTTGTATTTTCCATTTTGTGCTTGAAAGTTTTTTGCAATGTGATTTTACTATATTTACATTCACCATACTTCACTTTTGAATTTTGCTTAAAAATAAATGAAAACCACATGAATTATTCCTGGCAAAACCTATTGCAGCGGTACACCTCATATTTTCTCTCTATTTCGAAAACCGACTTATGCCTGCTATGATTTTTCTTGCTTTCTTTTCTTGTTCTTTGCTCTTTTTTGAAGTCTCATTAGGCCCAAAGTTATCCAAACATTCAAATTCTTCTATGTTGTTGAAATTGTGGTTTTGTACACTGAATTTTTTTGATTAACATTTACAATTCCTGAATATTTTTCTATGGAGACAAAAAACTTAACTTCAGTTCTCTGGGATAATTAAAACTTGTGTATATACTAAAGGAAAAAAAAATTCATTCGTAAGGGGGGAAAAAAGAAGAAGAAAAGCTGATGATGAAGAAAACAACAGAACAAATAATCTAGCAAAATCCACAATAATTATATATCTTTATACTGAATCGCATAGAGGTCTTACCATCTATCAAATTATTTGTAAACATCATCATAATGTGTGTAACTAATGTATTATAATGATTGTGCAGCTTGGTCTTATTGCGAGCAGCACTTGTTACATTTTTTGTCAGTTTTGGTGATAGTGGCCTCCAAGCTGCATTACTGGTAGATATCTCTACCTCAATGTCTGAGATAAGGCATACTAGTTTCCTTGTTCATATTTACTATTTGTGTGTGAGTAGCATAAACTTTAAAGATAATAATCTTAAAGAAGTATTTTTCTTCTATTAGATGGTGAGCGGAATTTAAGGTTCTTAAAAAAATTTATTTTCTAGCCCCTTGTTGTCTGTGATTGTTCATGAACATCTTCTTCCCTAGTCGGTAAGCTTGAGCTTAATGATATTGGTAGTATCTACGATTGAACAGAATGTCCTTAATCTGTAATCTTGGTAATTGTAATCCTTTAATGAACATATACTGAATTGTTCAGTTCGACCAAGTTACCGATGCTGGACAGTATGAAACAACTGAGAACACCTCAGGCTATCATCTGAAACTTAAACTGAGTAGGTTACCAGAGCCAGAGAGGAAATACTGCTTGGTTTAGAAGGTGCAGAAATAACTTTGAATGAGATGTCAAGGATTCTTCTTAAACATCAGAACATTTGTGACGTACCCAGATATCTCTTGTATGTGCATTCTTCACATTTCAACTTGATTAGAGTGAAAATTCTGATAATTATATCTGCTTATTTTAATTTGTAATTAAGCACATATTTTTTCTGCTTTTCATCATCATTAATCTATTGCAACTTCATGATTAATTAATGCAGTACTTTTTGAAAGCAAAGTTCCAGTTTAGCAAGGACCAATTTGCCGACTTGTTGCTGATAATTGGGATTGCAGGGGCATTCTCACAGGTATAATTCTAAAATTTTCTGATTAACTCTGTTTCCTTATCTTCATTTTTTACCCTGTATATACATCCACATACATGTATAATTATAAGTACTTGTATATTAACTAAAATTATGTTATGTGCAGCTGTTTCTGATGCTCCCGTTAACACGTATTATAGGGGAGGAGAAACTACTTAGCATTGGACTCTTAGCAAGCTGTGCCTATGTAATTATCTTTCTCTTCTTTCACACTTTCCCATTTTTTCCCCTATAAATGCAAGGTACCGAACTTGTAGTTACTTCTATTTTCTTTGAATTGTTGCAGGTATTTCTTTGTAGTGTTGCGTGGGCCTCTTGGGTACTTTCCTAGCTCTCTCTCTCTCTCTCTCTCTCTCTCTCATACATGTGTATCATAGGAGTACCCATCTTTTGTCTCTCTCTCTCTCTCTCATGCATGTGTATCATAGGAGTACCCATCTTTTGTAATTAGTTATTTTTCATCTTACTAGGAGAACTAATCAAGCCTATTTATTTACCTTTCAAATTAGTTTTCATCAGCTGTTATCCCATTTTGTAGATGCTCTCAACTTCTTTTTGTATTGAACATTTTTTCAAGAAGATGGCTTTGGTGCATTTGGTAATCCATTTATAATTTGCTTAAATTGCAGGTTCCTTATCTAGCTTCACTATTCGTAGTCATGAGTATTTTTGTTCATCCATGTGTGAGTACTTCTTCACTGATTGCTCTCAATATTTGTTCCCTCAAATGAACCTTACGTTTAGTTCTATTCTCAGATAAGAAGCACAGTGTCCCAAAAAGTTGGACCGTTTGAGCAGGTACTAATTGCAAAAGTTTGAGTCATTAGGATGGTTCGTATTTCATGTACATGTTTGTTTGTGCTCATTTTATACAAACATAGGGGTTAAGGGCTTTACTTAATCCGCTTACAACTTTAGTACCACTTGGCATATTTTAGGTAGGATAGTTTATACGATTATTGCTAATGGATTAGCTTTTGAAATTTATTAAGTTAAGATCTTGATATACATTGTTTAAGTCTTCATTATTGCTAAAGTGTACTGCTCATCTCAGGGAATGGCTCAAGGATGCATGACGGGCATAAATTCATTTGCTAGTATCATATCTCCATTCGTTTTCTCTCCTCTAACTGGTATTAGTTACTCCTAATGTTTTCAAGCATATCTTGATTTGATACAATAGCCAGCTTTATAATACTCTTCTTTCTTCAACCAGCTTTGTTCCTGTCCGAAGGCGCACCATTTAATTTCAAAGGTTTCAGTATAATGTGCTGTGGGTTCTCATCGGTGAGCACTTGGATACTCTAAAATTCTAGCTCTAAGTTTGGTACAACAACGGATACATCAATGATTTTCCCCCCCTCTTGTGCAGCTCACAGCCTTTACACTGTTCATCACCATGAGGGAAACTCATCCAGTTTTAAGCAAGAATACTAGACAGCAGCAGGTCTAGATATTTCCAAGCTGTTTATTTTCTTCACGATGTGTATATAAAACCAGTAAGCTAATCCAACCTGCTTTTTGAAAGGATTGTAGCCCTAAGACTAATGGATTGTGGTGCATAATATATGTTATTGGTTGTACTATGATCGGTGTTTAGAAAGCCAAGCTACTGAAAGGAAAGGCCACAGGTTGTAGGAAATGATTGCATTGTAAAAATCCGAAGCAAAAATGGACATTCGTGTAATTCTTTTCCAGCACTTCAGTATATTTAAATATATTGTGGTTAAATGTCTTGAGATCTTGACCTTGTTATTTCTTTGGACATTTCGGATCAATTCATGCCTCAGTTTAGTTAAGAATGAAATAGAATTCCTGAAAAGAAAAAGGGGGGAAAAAAATAATAGATACTGTGTTTTTTTTATGCCACAAAATGGATATTGAAGTGAAAATAGAAGAAATGGCATTGTTAGCCCATTCATTTCTTTGGGCCTTAGCCAATCCCTAAAAACTAGTATGGGAGTTATCATTTGCTACTACTTTCCTAAGCAATTTTTTTTAAGCAATGTACATTATATATGACTTCATGGTATCTTGAGATTAGTCTTACATCAATCAGAGAGGTGATTGGGTTCTAAATAAGATCAGAACCGCAAGAGATTCATCCCAGATTTCTGTTGGAATGAGGTGTAGATCAAACCTCGATTCCGACGAGGAGCTCCGGCGAGCTCGAGGGATGGCGCAGGCAAGCGTGGACGTCGACTCAGGCGAAGTCGACGGCGAACTCCAGGCGCAGTTCCAGGTGAAGCTCGAGCAGGCGAGCTCGAATTTGGTGTTTCCGATCCTCGCGTTTGGGATACCGACCCACGCGTTTTGGAGCTTCGACGATCGCATCTTGGCGCTCCGACCCTCGCGTCGAGCTTGGGCGCTCGCGTGGCTGGCGACAAGCTGTCGCCAGCCTGTCATGTTTCGCCTATAAAAGCAAACCCCGATGCCCTAGCCTTTGTGCTTCTCTCCCCCGATCTCTCTGGCGGCAGACAAAAAACGCAGCAGCGTTCCATCTCCAGCTCTCAACTGTTCTTTTGAGGGGAGATTAAGAAAAGGATTTAAGAAGAGAGAGGAATTTAAAGGGGATTTATATTGTGTCCGATTTTTTTCTCTGGCGGCGAAAAAAACGCAGCAGCGTTCCCATCTCCAGCTCTCAACTGTTCTTTTGAGGGGAGATTAAGAAAAGGATTTAAGAAGAGAGAGGAATTTAAAGGGGATTTATATTGTGGAATATTCTTTATTCTCAAAAGAGAATTGAAAGGGATTATTCCCTTTAATTATTAACACTGTAGCTATAGGTTCATTTTGAGAAATCTCAGTTTTGAGATCTGCTCTTGAATTTTAATTTCTTGTTTGATTAATAAGAAATTTACTGTGTGGCTCCCGAGGACGTAGGCAGTTGCCGAACCTCGTAAATCTTGTGTACTTTTCTCTATACCGTATTTCTGCTGTTTTAGGGGTTTTGCGTAGCCCCAGCGGGTAGTATTCCCAACAATTCCCCCCTGGGATCAGATTAGAGTTTGGCATTATCGATAGTCAATCTATCTAAGTTAACATTTCAAAATTTGAAGCTTAACCAAATTCATAACTCCATGAGAAGAGAAAGAAAACCCCTGAACATGGAAGGTGTCATTCTTTCTCCGAGCAAAGAACAAGCGATAAAATGCAGATGTACAGGACAATCACCCCCCCCGCCTTAGGAAAAAAATTCACAGCTTCAGTACAGGTCAAACCCATTTTAGTGGTAAGAATTGAAGATGAATCTGTGAAATAACTTGCATTACACAAACAAGACAGAAAATAAAAGAAACGTACCCCACAAGGAGTTGGTCCTCCAATGAGGAGCCATACAACTCCTATCCCATTCTATCCCTCCCACTCCAAATCAACACTATCCAGATTTCCCTCCCAACGAGTGGTTTCCTTCTCTTGCCCCCCAAACCAGCAATATCTCTCTCTTGACTCCTATAACCACAGGATATATTGATTCCGAAACCTGCAGAGCTTCAGCTGTTGGTGTTTGTTATATACTAAGAGCCATGGCCTCCACTGCTACTGCCGCTACCTGCGCTCTTGCTTCTCCGTCCCTGGGAGTTGAAGGCAGAGCTGCGGCGGCCCCGCATAGCGTCGGGCTTCCTGCTTTGCACGCACCGACCAATTTGGCATCTCTGAATCGTCAGCCCCTCGAATCCTGGAGAAGCACTGCCTACTGTGAGTCTGCTCTATCGTTTAACCTTCGGATAGCATGAAGTATATGATACAATGTGTATTGCTAAAGATTTGCATTTTCATCGTGCATCATTCTTCTCTTGTTTTTTTTTCGAAAGTTTCATCAAGTGAAACATAAACAGGAATTCATCGGCCAGTATGTTCCCGAATAGTTAAAAACTAAAAGGTAAAATGTTTCATAGTGGAAAGCAGCATAGACTGAGTTTGACAACCTCATGTGCCTATAAAATAGAGTGCTAATCCAGTACTCTGATATATCAAGAAGTCTTATTCAAAGAGTGCTAAAAATCATTCAGCCTTTTCCAAGTGATCTATAACCTCTCAGTTGTTCTTTCAAAGCAAACTAAATGATTGTTTGAGGGCAATGAAATAACAGAGCTTTGAGGTTATTGGGGGGGTATATGAGCAACTTTCCTTAGCTTGCAAAGATCATCCTTCTTCCTTCTAAACTTTGGCACTGGATCATCAAACAATTAGTGTTAACTCGAAATATTTTTTATGCAATAGGTCGTAAACTTGCGAGGAATGTTATGGCCATGGCTACAGGAGATGCACCGGCTGAAGTTGCAACTGAACTTCCAGAAATTGTGAAAACCATACAAGAAGCCGTATGTATTATATTACTCTCTTCTTTAAGATTTATCGAAGTGATTTTGATATTGTTTTCATGAGAAGAGCTTAACAAATATTCTTATGGTAAATAGTGGGACAAGGTTGAGGATAAGTATGCTGTGTCATCTCTTGCAGTTGCTGTAGTTATTGCACTTTGGGGCTCCACTGGAATGATCTCGGTAACTATAACTCAGTACTGATGTTTATGAAGATCTATATTTCTGATGCGCTCCGATATTCTATTTTTGGTTATTACTTACAATTCTTGGGTACTAATGCAGGCCATTGATAGGCTCCCTGTGGTCCCTGGTGTTCTTGAACTTGTAGGAATTGGATATACTGGGGTATGTACTGACTTGTGAAAGTTTTAACATATTTATAAAGGAACATATAACCAATTGCTCGGCATCCTTTAAGTCTTTCTTAAATATTAAAGAAAAGAGTGATTCAGCAAAGATTTTCCAACTAGCTAAGCTTTTTGCATAAGTGGCTATGAGTAAAATTTGTTTCAAACATAATAGTTCGCTAACTACATCAGCCTGAAAATTTTGAAATTTTTCTACTCCTAATATTTCAGTTAGATGCCAAGCTTTATTTCTTTATGAATCCAATATTGTTAGTGCATCATCCAACAAACTAGGATATTAGATATGTTTTGAAAATTACTTGTGAAAGCAGAGAGTGGTATTTACGTGACTTGTATGGTATATCTTTATTATGATGCTCCTGCAACACAGTGTCATTTAGAGATACATATCTTAAAAAACATGTACTGATTATTATTAGTATTATAAGATTCATGGATTAGTACTGCATGATTTTAGATTTTATACGCTCTACTGATGCACATCTTTTAATGTCTTGTCTACGCAGTGGTTTGCATATCGTAACCTGGTTTTCAAGCCTGACAGGTAAAACTCAAAATCAACCATCTTTCATTAATAAGGGTTTCAATGTTCTCTCAAAATATTTTCTCTCTCTCTCTATATCAATCACCTTATAGAAGATGCATTTCCTTTCAAGGACATATCATCTAATTTACACATTTGTGTCTTTAAACTTTTATGACTGTACTCTTCCACTCTTCCGTCTACTGTGAGGCCTCATTTCATGTATCTTGATCTCTTCCTAGTAGCCAAGCTGTCCTTTTTCTGTTGAGTCTGTTAGATATATACTCAATAGATATGACGGGCTTAACATAATCTGGAAAGCCAACACAATTTATATGAGATGATGAAAAGTCTTAAATATACAGTTTCTAGATGTGCCTTATTTGTAACAAAAACTTGATAATCGATCTGTGAAGCTCTCAATCTTTAACATTCAGAGTCCAGACCTTCAATTTTTTATAGTTTGCCTTCACCGCTTAGGCTGTTGGGTACTGCTAAAGGAGGGGAAAAAAAATAGTTTCAAGGTTCAGACCTTTATTTTGATAGTTTATCGTATAAGTTAGATTTTATTAATGTCTACATTCAGAGAAGCACACAAATTGAGGAAAATGTAGTTTATGTTGAAACTAGTCATTTCATCTATAAATATATATAATTTGCTGGATAAGACAGATTTGAATAATTCTGTTTTAGCTAATGACTCCACCAACATGGGGAGTAATCAACATAAAACGAAGTGGCATATGCTGCTTTAATGTGGAGAACACATGGTATTCTTTAGTAAAAAGGCAAAAGAATAGTTCGCTCTGTGCTCACCACGCAGCTGCGTGACTTATAAAACCCTAACCCCTAGATGGGCTGACATTTCCAACCTTTGCTTTGGGGTTTGGCTTTGTGTCGGTCTCCCTAACCTAAATAAAGCTGCAGTGGGATCACCACCACCATCACCAAGTTTCAAATATCTACAGTCTTTTCCTGCTTGCCTCACATTTTCAACTATGCTATTCTGAAATCCGAAGATTATAACATTCTAACTAGCTATACTATGATGATATGTCCACAAGTAGGCATTATATCACATTTGTGAGTCCTGATCTCCTTCACATATTGCAAATGTGTCCTGATCTCCTTCACATATTGCCAATTACTTTCAACTTGTAGTTCTCTTGTGATCATCCTCCCCATTAATTTCATGTGAGACACCCGCTAAAGATGGTGGTTCCTATTGCATGTGCTGTTGGGAAAATGACCCACTAAACCAGAGAATAGAGAGACAATCACAAACACAATATTTACGTGGTTCGATCAAATTGATCTACGTCCACGACAAGAGGGGGCTTTCACTATATTCAATCTCTCAAATACAACACACATACAAAATTTTAGCACTCTCTCTTTTGTTTTGCTCTCACTCAAATGGCTCTGTCAAGGATTACTTCGGAGGATTGATTCACTGAGAGGAGAGGTGCAGCAGGTTTTTATAGGCTCCATATCCACTAATTGTCAACAAACAACGGCTCCATTTTGTCAAAATTTTCGTCCAACGAAAGACAGACGAAGCCTCCATTTTTGACACAAGAAACGGTGCCTCCAATTTTGACTCAAAAAATCGGTGCCTCCATTGTTGACCAACAACCTCCACCTCGGTGAAGTTTTCCAAAAACTGAGCCGACACCAACCAAACTAAACGTGAGAGTACACTTCATAATAGAACAAGTGAAACTCGACCCCCTCTTGCAAACAATGCCCCAAACGGGGCTGACTAACAACTGCGAATGCCTCCCAAATTCAAGCAGTGCTTGAACTTGAAGACCGGGATCGTTTTGGTCAACATGTCAGCTGGGTTGTCTGCAGTACCAATCTTCTTCATCGTGATGTTTCTTTCAGCAGTTGTCTCACGAATGAAATGATATCTGACATCAATATGCTTTGTCCTCTCATGATGTGATGAGTTTTTGCTTAGATGTATTGCGCTCTGATTGTCGCAAAATACAACTGAACTAGCCTCCTGCTGTAGTCCAAGCTCCCTCACGAGATTTCTCAACCAAATAGCCTCTTTTACTGCTTCTGCTGCTGCCATGTATTCTGCCTCTGTAGTAGACAAAGCAACTGTTGACTGTAGAGTCGATCTCCAACTAATAGCTGAGCCAGAAAGAGTAAAAAGATAACCAGTCAAAGATCTCCTTTTATCAAGATCACCTGCATAGTTAGAATCCACAAAACCTACAACAGAGGTTCCCAAAGTATTGCTATCAAAAACTAAACCCAAATCTGAGGTACCCCTGAGATACCGAAGGATCCACTTCACTGCCTCCCAGTGTGCCTTCCCTGGTTGAGCCATGTATCTGCTCACTATACTAACTGCCTGGGCAATGTCTGAACGAGTGCAAATCATAGCATACATAATGCTACCCACTACATTAGAGTATGGAACTCGGGACATCTCCTTCTTCTCGTTCTCACTTGTAGGTGAATCTGAAGCCGAGAGCCTAAAGTGAGGAGCCAAAGGAGTCGTAACGGGCTTGGCCATGTCATCGACATATAATAGAAGATAAATAAAAGAATCATCTCCTAGATGCATGTAGTACACACAACTATCATAAGTACTTCTTGAGTACCCATGACTAAGCATAAAATTATCAAACCTCTTGTACCACTGTCTGGGAGATTGCTTCAGGCCGTACAAAGATTTCTTCAATCTGCAAACTTGATCTTCTTTACCTTCTACGAAGTATCCCTCTGGCTGAGACATGTAGATAGTCTCCTCAAGTTCGCCATGTAAAAATGCAGTCTTCACATCAAGCTGCTCAAGCTCCAGATCAAATAGAGCAACCATGGCAAGTAATACACGGATGGAGGTATGCTTCACAACCGGAGAGAACACTTCATCATAGTCAATTCCCTCCTTTTGTCTATAACCCTTAGCCACCAACCGTGCTTTGAATCTAGCATCTTCAACCCCTGGGATCCCTTCTTTCTTCTTGAAAATCCACTTGCATCCAATTGCCCTTTTACCCTTAGGTAATTGCACCAAATCCCAAGTCTGATTCTTGTAGAGTGACTCGAGTTCTTCTGTCATAGCTGTGGCCCAACGTCCAGATTCTCCGCATGAGACAGCTTCAGTAAAGTTTGATGGCTCTTGAATACTCATCTCTTCAGCTGTCGTGAGAGCATACGCCACTAATTCAGCATGTGCATATCTTTGAGGAGGTTTGATCTGTCTCCTCTCTCTGCCAGTGGCTATGGAATAAGGTTCTTCAGTCTCAGCATCATCAGCATCTGAGCCTGAATCATGTTGCTCTTCTATAGCTGTAGGAGCAAATTTTATAGACGACTTTTGAGACGTCTCTCCCTCGAGCTCCACCTTATCCATGGTCTTCTCTACATTTCCTGTAGACTCAACAGAAACCTTCCCATGATCAAGCATATATCTTTCATTAAAAGTAACATCTCTACTAATAATGAATTTAGGAGAATTAGTTTCAAGACTCCACAAACGATAACCTTTAATGCCATCAGCATAACCAATAAATATGTATTTCTTAGCTCTAGGCTCAAGCTTACCCTCTCTAACATGATAGTAAGCGGGACATCCAAATACCTTTAAATTTGAATAGTCATTTGGTTTATCTGATCATACCTCATTTGGAGTCTTGTGTTCAATGGCTGTAGAAGGAGACCGATTCACCAAGTAACAAGCTGTGTTAACAGCTTCAGCCCAGAAGCCTTTATCTAAGCCAGAGTTTGAGAGCATACACCTAGCTCTCTCCATCAACGTTCTATTCATGCGTTCTGCCACCCCGTTTTGCTGAGGAGTGTGCCTGACCGTGCGATGTCGTACGATCCCAGAATTTGAGCAGAACTGATTGAACTCACCACTGCAGAACTCTAAGCCATTATCTGTTCGGAGCGTTTAATCTTCTTTCCAGTTTGATTCTCAACAAGTACTTTCCACTTCTTGAAAGTTTCGAACACCTCAGATTTGCGCCTGAGAAAGTAAACCCAAACTTTCCTGGAAAAATCATCAATAAACGTCAGAAAATAAAGAGAACCACCTTTGGATGGAACCTGAGCGGGTCCCCACAAATCTGAATGGATGTAGTCGAGAGTGCCCTTCGTCGTATGTGAGCCAGTCGAGAAGCTGACCCGAGTTTGCTTCCCAAACACACAATGCTCACAGAAATAGTAAGCCACGTTTACTCAAAATAGTCATCCCCTTCTCACTCATGTGGCCTAAGCGCATGTTCCACAACTGAGTAGTGTCCCTATCAGCATCAGAAGACACACCTGCAGAGCCTGTCACCGTACTGCCTTGGAGAACATAAAGACTGTTCACCTTACTACCTTTCATCACAACCAATGAACCCTTAGTAACTCTAAGAGCTCCACCTTCGCCAGTGTAAGAACACCCAATAGAATCCAAAGAACTCAAAGAAATCAGATTTTTCTTTAAGTCTGGGATGTGTCTCACATCTGATAAAGTTCTCACTATCCCATCGTGACACCGGATACGAACTGTACCAATGCCAACTGTCTTGCAAACTGCATTGTTACCCATCAAAACTGATTCACCACTTATAGATCTGTAAGTAGTGAACCAATCTTTATTTGGACACAAATGAAAAGACGCACCTGTATCCAAGATTCATTCTTTATCGGAACGGCCATCCAAGGGACATACTGTAAGAACCGTCTCAGCAACAACGGCAGTATCAGCCTTTGCCGTATTAGCTAAATCTGAGGTTTCACCACGCTGGTTGTCTTTCTTCTTTAGAGCATAACATTTTGACTTGTAATGCCCTTTCTTGTGACAGTAAAAACACTCCACATGTTTCTTGTTTTGGGCTGATCTGGACTTCGAACGATTTCTGGATTGCCCTTTATCACCCTCTTTGGTCTTCATTCTACCTCTGGCTAGCAGACCGTCAGCCTGCCTATCGATACCTCTCCCATTCAACTTTGTTCTTAACTCAGCAAAATTCAAAGAGGCCTTCACATCCTCAAGACTTATGGATTCTCGTCCATACAACATAGAGTTAACAAAGTTTTCATAAGAGTCAGGTAAGGAACATAACACAATGAGAGCCTGGTCTTCATCATCAAGCTTTAGATCCAGGTTTTTCATATCCATGAAACACAATGAGAGCCTGGTCTTCATCATCAAGCTTTAGATCCAGGTTTTTCATATCCATGACAATTTTATTAAATTCATCAGGTTTTTCATATCCATGACAATTTTATTAAATTCATCAAGGTGTTCTTGAATGGGTGTACCTTCTTTCACCTTCAATGTGTATAGCCACTGCTTCAGGTATAATCTCGTAGTAAGAGATTTCTTCAAGTAGAGACTTTCGAGCTTTGACCACAACCCCGCTGCCGTTTCCTCATCGGCAACTTCACGAAGCACATTGTCGGATAGTGACAATTGCAAGGCGCTGTGAGCCTTTTCGTCCATCTCTTCGATCTCGGCACTAGTCATATCTTCTGGGTATTTCCCATCGATAGCTTTAACTGTGCCTTCACGTCGCAACAAAGCCTTCATCTTTATCCTCCATAGGCCAAAATTGTTCTGGCCATCAAAGATCGACACTGAGAACTTTACGAAAGCCATTATAGAGGATTGAAAGCTGTCCTAGAACCGAGAAGCTCTGATACCAGTTGTTGGGAAAATGACCCACTAAACCAGAGAATAGAGAGACAATCACAAACACAATATTTACGTGGTTCGATCAAATTGATCTACGTCCACGGCAAGAGGGGGCTTTCACTATATTCAATCTCTCAAATACAACACACATACAAAATTTTAGCACTCTCTCTTTTGTTTTGCTCTTACTCAAATGGCTCTGTCAAGGATTGCTTCGGAGGATTGATTCACTGAGAGGAGAGGTGCAGCAGGTTTTTATAGGCTCCATATCCACTAATTGTCAACAAACAACGGCTCCATTTTGTCAAAATTTTCGTCCAACGAAAGGCAGACGAAGCCTCCATTTTTGACACAAGAAACGGTGCCTCCAATTTTGACTCAAAAAATCGGTGCCTCCATTGTTGACCAACATGTGCCATTCAAAAAAAGCAATGAATATTTTCATTAAAGATTCAAGCATCGAATGGATGGGCTGTCAAGATTGTAGAGGATGTTCAGCATAGGCTGAGGTGTGTAAGATGTATCCCATACTAATGCTAAGGCTGTCAAAATTTGTTCATAACAATAGTAATAAGCCTATCAAGAGAATTTCAGGTTAGCTCTATTCAGATATTTCACGACTGAAGTACACTGGATTTCTTTTAGACAGGCTCTTAAAAGAGAACCAAGGTTGGAATGCCAATACATTTTCTCTATTCTATAGTTCACTCAAATAAATAGTACCCAATTTAGGAATGTCGAAGAAGTCTTTTTTTTTAATGTCCAGAAAGTCACTGATGTCCAAATGTAGATTTCAAATTAAGTCTAGACAAAATAGAATTTAGCAAAAAGTCTTTTTTTAATGTCGATTTCAAATTAAGTCGAGAAAGTTTTTTTTTTTTTTGAATGTCGAGAAAGTCACTGAGGTCCAAATGTAGATTTCAAACTAGTAGAATTTAGCAAAAAGTAATCATATCATATGCAAAATAGCAAGCATTCATAGAATGACAGACAAAATAGAGTTTCTGCACCTTTCCATTAATCTACGAACGTGATCTATTATTGTGACTTACTTGAAATTTCTTATTCTAGTCATTGTATTAACATTCTTCGTTTCTTTAATTTGGTTCCAGAGAAGCTTTGATAGCAAAGATCAAGAGCACCTATAGCGAGATAATTGGGAGCAGCTACTGAGGAAATTCCTGCACTGATCATAATCTGCTTTGGATTCAACCCGGGACGAGGCTCAGACTCATGCAAAGGAGAATATTATTCATGATTAGAAGCTTTACCGCTTTTCAAGTTTTTGAGTTGAATATATATTGTAAAGTTTCTAACCTGAGAAGAATATATAGTTCAATAAACACCTTATATTTCTAGTAGCTTATGTATGATAGGAAATGTTCAGCTAGCACGAAATAGTAATATTGGAAATGGAGCCGATATTGAGAAGTTTACTTGTGAGAGATGGAAAACGAAGAAGGAATTTCCTCTTTTTAACACCGATTATCAGCAGAACACCTAACGAATAGCATATTAAAACGTCGTCAATCAAACATATATAACTCTGTATGACTTTTACTGGACTTTTATTAATATAAAAGCTCATCTGTGCATACTTTTTTAAGGGGTTTTTTTTATATGAAACCACCACAAAATATACCAGGTTCCAGATAACCACTACAAAATTTTTAATTTTTGTAAAATCACCAAGAAAATATGCACTCTTAACAAAGTCCCACCAAGTCATAATTTTCGTTCAAATTCTATTAAATAATATGCTAAATCCCTAAGATACCCTCATGATGGCACCCAACAATATTTTGGTATATTTTCTCATCCCAACAAACACCTTACTTCCCTCCAACAATAATACTTAACTCCCTCAAAAATTTTTAATTCCCTCCAAACACCCCACTACAATACGCCTCCAAAATTTAGTGATAATGGGCATTTACGTCAATTTACACTCTTACTTAAAAGAATATGGATGTAAATTACGACTTGTACTACTTTGTTAGCAATGCATATTTTCATAGTGATTCTATGTAAACTAAAAAGTTTATGATGATTTCTCGAAAAACCAGTATATTTTGTGTGTTGGTTCGAATAAAAAAAAGCATACTCTTTGTTGCGCGCAGCGGAAATTTCGGCAGCACTTCGGCAGCACAACAAGAGAGTCAGGTCGCAATAAGAATTTTTGTTTCTCAAAGGGAACAAGAATCTGAAGCATAATATCTCATCAAAGTGGGATATTAGCTCTTCCTCTCGTCAGCTCTAGGACTGCGCATCGAGGGAACCTAAAAGCTATTACAAATCACACAAATAGCAGTACAATCAATTTTTACGTGGTTCGGCAAATTGCCTACGGCCACGGGACAAGGAGGGGGGAGATCCACTAATAAAGGGAGAGAATACAAATAGGGTTTACAATTACTCTCAAACTAAACCCTCAAACAAACTCTCAAATCCCTCAAAACCTCCTGCACAACCCCAGGAACAATATTTGTTCCTTTATATAACCGGAGAATCATGCGGTTTGTGGCCAAAAAACGAACTTGGGCTCACGCGGAAAAGCCCACGAACTCTATTCTCTCACTCGTAAACGAATTCATGGGTGGCCCCCACACCCATGTGATCACAATTCTCCACCTCGGTGAAGTTTTTCCAAAACTGAGCCGACACCAAAGCAATCAAATGTCCCACTTGTTGTGTCTAGTACGAACGCAATCCACAACAAGTCGAGAACCCGAACAAGAGTCCAAACAATCTCACCCCCATCAACTAATCCAAACCGGCTACATCTGAAGGACTGCCTACGTATCCTCTTGCCCAAGGAATTAAGCCGAACGTAGTTCATCCAAATGGCCGTCAACGGCCTCAATAATCACGAATATGCAACAAGTTTCGACAATGATCAAAATTGTTGCTCGGAACCACCTTTGTGAGCATATCTGCCGGATTATCCTTCGTGTGGACTTTCACAATCTCCACATCGCCATCTTCAAGAACATCCCGAACGAAGTGATAACGAACGTCAATGTGCTTCGTCCGCGCATGAAAAACCTGATTCTTCGCCAAATAGATAGCACTCATGCTATCACAATGAATAGTGACGGACCTCTGCGATATACCAAGTTCCTCCAAAAGTCCTCGAAGCCAAATAGCCTCCTTCACAGCTTCCGTAACTACAATATACTCTACCTCCATCGTAGACAAAGCCACCGTCGACTGTAAGGTACATCTCCAACACACCGGCGCACGGGTCAAAGTAAACACATACCCCGTAGTAGACCGGCGCTTATCCAAATCCTTGGCATAATCCGAATCAACATAACCAATGCATAGCTGCCCACTTGTAGTGTCCCGCTCATAAACCAAACCAACATTGAGCGTACCTCGAATGTACCTCAATATCCATCTCACGGCGTCCCAATGACCCACTCCTGGATCATGCATGTATCTCGAAACCATGCTTACCGCCTGTGACAAATCTGGTCTCGTACATACCATTGCGTACATCAAGCTCCCAACCACGCTCGCATAAGGAGTCTTCGACATCAACTCACGATCTTTAACTGACTTCGGTGAAAGACCAACTGAAAGCTTCAAATGGGCTCCCAAAGGTACACCAACTGGCTTCGTATCCATGCTAACATGGAATCGCTGTAGAACCTTCTTCAAATAAGCCACCTGTGTTAAATAAATTCTGCCCTTCTTCTTGTCTCTGCCGATCTCCATCCCTAAAATGCGCTTCGCCTCACCCAAGTCCTTCATCTCAAACTCATTTGAAAGCTGAACTTTCAACTCATCTATAGCCGACCTGGAAATAGAGGCAACCAACATGTCATCGACATAGAGCAATAAATAAATGTACGCACCTCCTTTCAACTTGCGAAAATATACGCAAGGATCAAACTGGCTCCGAGTGTACGAATGACCAATCATAAAACCATCGAATCGCCTATACCACTGTCGAGGAGACTGCTTCAAACCATATAGCGATTTCTTTAGTTTGCAAACTAATTTTTTCTTCCCTGCAGCTCGGAATCCCAATGGCTGAGTCATATATATTTCTTCATCAAGATCACCATGAAGAAATATCATCTTCACATCCAACTGATCTAACTCCAAACTATATTGTGCCACCAAAGCTAGCAAAATCCGAATCGAAGAATGCTTCACCACCGGAGAGAAAACCTCATTATAGTCAATACCTTCCTCCTGTGCATAGCCCTTCGCAACCAACCTAGCTTTGAACCTCAATGGAGTGCCCTCAATGCCCTCATTCTTCGTGTATACCCACTTGCAACCGATTGCCTTCCGCCCCTTTGGAAGCTCAACAAGCTCCCATGCATCGTTCTTATGAAGAGATTCCATCTCCTCCTGCATAGACACCTGCCACGAATCAGCCTCTGAACTCTGCTCGGCCTCTCTGAATGTAGTAGGCACCAACTCATCGATACTCTCCATCGGAAGTGCATACGCATCTGTGTCGGCATACCGTGCTGGCATCTGTATGTTTCTCCTCTGTCTCCGAACCGTAATAGAATCCTGAACCTGAGCCGTCGGTTCCTGATCCTGCACATTTGTACTTGTATCCTCCGTGTCACTGTCGTGCTCGCCTGGCGTCTCCTCAGTCGGCACCTGTATGGATACTATACTATCTGGACAATATGGAGCTGCATCGATCTCCACCACCTGCGATATCTCCTCCGTCGGATCGCTCTCCACCTGATGAGAGCTGGGAAGCTTCAAGATAGAAGCCTCATCGAATGTGACGTCCCTACTCAGCACAATCTTCTTATCCACTGGATCCCAAAGCTTGTATCCCTTGATACCACGCTTGAATCCTACAAATATGGCCTTCCTAGCTCGAGGTTCCAATTTATCAGTTCTAACATGATAATATGCAGGGCATCCAAATACCTTGAGCTGGTCATAGTCATGTGCTGGCTTTCCCGACCATATCTCCATATGGGTCTTCCCCTCAATCGCAGATGAAGACAGCCTATTAATGAGGTGGCTCGCATATGTAAGTGCCTCAGCCCAAAAGATCTTCTCCAAACCACTCTGCGACAATAAGCATCGGATCTTCTCCAGTAAAGACCGATTCAACCTCTCTGCCACCCCATTTTGCTGCGGTGTATGACTAACTGTGAAGTGTCTCTCTATGCCCTCGTCTCGACATAGCTGCTGAAAGGGGTCAGAAGTATACTCACCACCGTTGTCGGATCGTAACGTCTTGATCTTTCTCCTAGTCTGCAGTTCCAATCTCTTCTTCCACTCCACAAACAAATCTAGGACTTCACTCTTCTTTGTCTTGGTGTACACCCAACAATGCCTAGAATAGTCATCTACAAAAGTGACGAACCAATGTCGACCACCAAGTGATGTAGTCTTGGTGGGACCCCAAACGTCTGTGTGCACGTAGTCCAGGATGCCCCTCGTCTGATGAATGGCAGTCCCGAACTTCACCTTCGTCTTCTTGCCAAGAACACAGTGCTCACAGAACTCAATCTTCCCACTCTTGGCTCCCTTCAATAGCCCCTGCTTGCACAATGCCTGCAGTGACTTTTCACCTGTGTGCCCCAATCTATAGTGCCAAAGTCTGCTCATGTCCGCTTCTGAAATAGCCGAAGCAACCTGGCCAATCTCGGTGCTTCCCTTCAGATAATACAAATTCCGATTGCGGACTCCCTTCATCACCACCAATGATCCCTTAGTAACCTTCGCTACAGCGTTTTCGAAAGTCACCTTTAATCCCTTCGCCTCCAAAGCTCCAACTGAGATAAGATTTTTCTTCAGTTGAGGAATAAATCTCACCTCCTTTAACTTACAGACTACTCCATCGTGCATCCTAATCCACACGGTACCTATCCCACAAACGCCACAGGATTGATCATTTCCCATGACAATAACGCCCCCGTCGACTTTCTCAAAAGATGCAAACCAGTCTCGCCTAAGGGTCACATGAAAAGTAGCGCTGGAATCAAGCATTCAATCTGATGCATCCACATGGTTCACCTCCGGAGTAATCAGTAGAGAAAAGCACGAATCATCGGAATCATCGCCTTTCGCAATATTCACCTCATTGGCCTTCGGGCCCTTTTTCTTGCCATTCTCTTTCTCCTTGAGCTTCGGACAGTCTCTCTTCCAATGTCCCTGCTCCTTACAGAATGCACATTGGTTCTTTGCTAATTAGTGGCGGCTTCTTGACTTTGACCTTCCTCTATTACCACTTTTCGGATATAGACTTCTACCTCTCGTCGACAAGGCCTCGCCTGAAGTGCTAGCACGGGAAGTCTCCTTGTCCTTCCTCCGAAGTCTCATTGTCCTTCCTCCTCAAATCGTAATTTTTCAAAGCGTTAGTCACTTCACTATAGCTGATAGAAGATCTCCCGTTCAACAAAGTGAGCACGAAGGTATCATACTCCTCATCGGGTAAGGAGCCCAA